ATTAATGCACTATCTGAGGTATAAGTGGTAAAGATTTTCTCCCATTTTGTAGGTTTTCTCTTCAGTAGTAATAATTTTTGATTTGGAAATTTTAGCCAAAGCAATAAAACATAAATCAGAAAAGGAATTTTTGGCACTGGGAAGAAAATAAATATTAATGTCAGAGATATAACTACAAACAAAATTTTTATTATATAAAGCAAATTGATAAGAAAGTCTTTAGCATTCCCACAAATCTAAGTGTAAAAGTTAGGAAAAATAATTTGTAAAATAGAAGCTGTTACCAGTAAATAGGAAAAGAAAAGTAAGGATTCAATTTTGACCAATACCAAGAACTATGTTGTAAGGTTCACAGGTGACATAATAATGTAAAGAAGTCACAGCAACAAAAGCAGCAACAAAATGTATACCCTTTAGCCTACTGAGACAGTGCCTAATGCCCACTCTGAAAATAATCTGAAGTCTGAACAAAACTACACATGCAGCAATGTCTACGACAGTTAGGAGAGCAAAAACAAACAATCCCTAATATGATCCACTATATGATGAAACGATGGAAAGAATTAAAACAATCATATGCTAGATATTGAATCCAGGGCCTCACACACACTGGGAAAGTACTCTGCCTAGATACATCCTATTATGGTTTGAGTATGAGGTAACTCCTAAGAGCTCAATTGTGCAGGAATATTCAGAAATGAAGTTGTTGTATTGTGAGAGCTGTAACCTAAACAGTGGGTTAATTAATTGATATGAATTAACTTGGTGGTAACTGAGCAGGTGAAGTGTGGCTGAAGGAGGTAGGTTACCAGAGGTGTGACTTTGGGTTTTATAATTTTGTATCTGCTGAGTATAGTCCTCTCTCTGCTTTCTGGCTGTCATGTCCTGAACTGCTTTCTTCTGCCATGCCCTTCCACTATCAATCATGTACTCCCTCATCTTGGGCCGAGAGCTATGGAGTGAGTTGACTATGGAATGAACCTCTTTAACCATGAGCTAAAATAAACTTTTCCTCTTTTTTATTTTTCTTGTCAGGTCTTTTGGTCACAGTGACACAAAAGATGACTAAAACAGAAATTGTTATGGAGAAATGGTCCTGCTGCTATGACTAACCTGACCATGTGGTTCAGAAGCCTTTGGAGCTATTTTGTGGAGGGAGGGATATTGAAAGGTTTAGAGATGCAACATGGAAAACCTTTAGAATGTTGTAAACAGAGCTTAATGAGTGATTCTGGTGAGAGCTTAGAAGACCAGAATGCCAACTGGACTATGGACAGTAAAGATTGGACTCATGAGGTTTCAAAGGAGAATGACTCTATTCAAAACTGGATTATAGGCCATCCATACTATATTGTGGCAAAGAAACTGTCTAAATTTTGCCTATGTCCTGAGACTTTCTCTGAGGCTTAATTTAAGATGATGGATTATTAATCTGGTGGAAGAAATTTTAAGGCAGCACAGCATGCAGGTGATGAGCTGCTTTCTTCCGCCATGCTGCTTTTCTTCTGCCTGAGCTGCTTTCTTCCGCCATGCCCTTCCACTATCATATTGTTCTTGTGCAGGTTTTAGCCAAGTTTATTGTAATAACCAGGAACAGAAATCAGAGCAGAAAGATTTGAAAAACTTGCAGTTTGGTCAGAAAAATTCAAGTAAAACTGGGGCTACAAAGGTGTGACTACTAAAAACATTATATCCTTCTTGCATACGGGAGCCTAGGAAGTTTTAAAATCATGTTTAGCCACCCAGGCACTCACAGGCTGCTGTAGCCAGGGTCCCAGGAGGCTTGACTACAATAAAAATGTCAGCAGATCTTGGAATCAACCATGTGGTGTTAGTTCAGCTGGAATGCAGGAATGCAGAATGCTGGACAGGCTTACACTGAGATTTCAAAGGAAGGCCTGGGAAGCCAGACAAAGTGGAGCAAGGTTGAAATTCCTGCCAGCAGCCCCTGAGAGGGCAAGGTGTAAAGATGTGAGAAGGAAGCTTAAGCTGCAGTAAAGAACCCCAAGACCAAGAGAAGTCACTATTGTGGGATAGCTGCCATGGAAAGCTGCATGAATTGAGCAGAGAAAAGTCAAGAGAGAGGCCATATGGGCTGAAACTGAAAGGCAAGTGACTCACCCAAGACAGAGATTCAACCAAGAGATTTATTGGGGGACTGCCCGAAGGGGAAGAAAAGGAGAGGTAGAGAGCAGAGTGAGGAGAGAAAGAAAAGGAAGAGGGCAGAGAGCAGAGAGGAAGAGGGCAGAGAGCGTGAGCTTGCAAGCTTTGGCTTAAGAAGGGTTGCATAGGTGATGTGGCGGGTGCGGATTGGCAGGGTGACTTAGGAACAGCGAGTGGACACTGTGTCTCACTGGGACTGGTCGAGAAAACTTTTTAATTTGACGCCCTTTGGCTTGGCGCCCTTCAGAGAGAAGGGGGAGGGGTAAGCGATTCCATGATGTTCTAGCAAGATGCAAACTTAACTTCAGCGGGGAGTCTCCCACATAACCAAGAGAAACAGCAAGGCCAGAGGGGTAGATCTACACAAGTCCTATTGGAGAGAACCTCACAATGCCATGTGCCCCAAATGCTGGACATGGAGCTACCAGACGTGTTTACCCAGTTAAATTTTGGTCCTGCTTTGGTCCCATCCATTCTTTCTATGCCACAATTTCTCCCTTGTGGAACAGAAATGTTTACTCTATGGTCATATGATATATTGGATATATGTTGCTTTTAATCTTTATAGGGGAAAACAATTATGAGTTTGCCTTGAGTTTCAGAAGACATTTTGGACTCAGACTTTTGGGTAATGCTTAGAAATGTAAAGATTATGCAGATTCCTGGAAATAGATTAAATGTACTTTGCATGATAAAATGGGCCTGAGCTTTTGGGGGCTGGGGTGGAATGTTATGGTTAGATATCTCCAAAAAGCTCATGTGTGAGACAATGCAAGAATTTTCAGAGGTGAAGTGATTAGAGTATGAGAGATATAACCTAATCAGTAGATTTAAACCACTGATATGGATTAACTGGATAGTTACTGGGCAGGTGAGGTGTAGCTGGAGGAGGGGGGTCACTGGGGGTATGAATTTGTAGTTTATATTTTGTTCCTGGTGAGCAGAATTTTATACTTCCTGGTTACCTTGTCCTCAGCTGCTTTCCTCTGCCATGCCCTTCCACCCTGATGGTCCCCCTCATCTGAGGCCTGGAGATATGAAGTCAGTTGTCCATGGACTGAAACTCTGAAACTGTGAGCCAAAAGAAACATTTCCTCCTCTCTGTTGCTCTTATCAGGTTTGTCATAGCAACACAAATCTAACTAAAACACATCCTCAGCCCCAACTACAACCATAGGTAACTATAATAACAATGGATAAAAGATGCAAAGCTCACTTATTCGTTGTCCAAGAATTTCTATTTCTAGAACTATCCCAAGAACACATCAAAACAACATATAAGGATGATTTATTTAACTGCCCAAAATGAAAAGCAACCTTAAAACCTCCAGGTAGGAGACGGCTTAAATTATGATGTCCATATAGTGAAATATGTTTAAAAGATGACTATTTGAGTTTACTGATAGAGAAATTAATGATAATGGGGAAAGTTAGCTTGTACTTATCTCCCATATAAGGATATGTATTCAAACTATCTGGCACAGGGGTTACTAATAAATATTTCTGAATGAATATATAAGTATGTTAAGGAAGGTCCTGGTTATCTCTTGAAAAACTATCACATTCTTCTCTTTTTCTGGTCCTCATTATAGGCATCAGAGTTGGTGGTAGAAAATAATCAACCAAATGTGTTCCATCTCCCTTTGCCCCCCAAATACCATCATAGGACATTCCTTAATTTGCTTTAAAAATATCTATATGATTTAGTGAGCTGTTTCAAACTTTGACATTCCTTTAGTAGTAAAAGTTGTTTATTCATTAGTTAATGAATGTTGAAACTATGTGATTGAACATGGGGTTCATTATATTACTATATCTTTATATATGTTTAAATTTTTATAGGTTAATGAGTTTTCTAAGTTACTTATTGTTATGTAATTTTATCACTATTTCGTAATGAAATTAATCCTAGGCAAGGCATTTTAATTCCATATTCATTTTCAGATTGATAGAGCAAAGGTAATATTATATCCAATAGGGATCTGTGATAATTCATTAGAAATAGAGACATAGGGCTCTCAGCTCCTTGAAGTCAGTAGCCATTTTACCTAAACCCACATTTACCACTAAAGAACAAATGGGAGCATCTAAAGGCCATTGATTTTTTAAAACTGTTCTTGCATCAAGAAAATGTAAATGAATGTAAAAGGCTTTTAGAGGGTGAAGAGTATATAGCCTACAAGGAAAAATATACAGAATATGACTCGCCAGGTTCCATTAAAAAAAAAAAAAAAAACTGTTAATCCTTTCAATAATTATTTTTACTTTTTTCAATTAAGCATAAGCTATTTTTGGTGGCATCTAGACTAACTTTAGTTACTATTTAGATAAAGAGTTCCTAATTAAACAGCAGAAGTTTGTAGAGTATTAAGAGCAATGCCCTAAATCACCTCTACCAGCTTATTCATATACTCAACTCAACCACTATTTACCCACCCATCTCTCCTTATAAGTGCCTAAAAATTGCTATTATTGTTTATATAAATTAAGACTTATTTTTTAAAAAAACTAATTTTAAAATCTAAACTTCTTCTTTTTTTTTTTTTTCAAAAGCTTAAAGTTTTAATACATAAATCATTGCCAGTAACAGAAGACTTGGACATGGTGGCACACATTTGTAATCTCAGCCACTCAGGAGATCCCAAGTTCCAGGCCAGCCTCAGTAATTGAGACCTAAGCAACTCAAAAATAAAAAATGAAAAGTTCTGTGGATGTTCTTCAGTGGTTAAACACCCCTGGGTTCAATCCCTATTACCAAGCCCATCCTCCTCATGCATGTTTTTTGATAAGCAGACTTAAGGGTGTAAATAAAAACTGCTATCAACAAAATAAAACAATTACATCTCCCAAATTAAGATTTATTTGGTGTTTTTCAGATAGGCATGTTCATTAACACCAGCTTATTTAATTCTCCTGACAACTTCCAACCCTACTGTAGGTGGAGAAAAGGAGTTAGCAAGCTGTCTACAAACACAAGCCAGTTTAATAAAAATAGTAGTAGTTTATTGATCACATATAATTTTAGCTGTATTAATATATATTATATAGCTTTAAGAATTAGAAACGAATGACTTTATATTTTACCAAGGACAATCTGAGTTTTGGCAGCATATTCAATGACCATCATTCAGTCCTACAGCCACCACATGCGCATTTCAGATAATCAGGACGTCGTCATCCAAGCTTGACTGACACGATAGTTACCCCTACAGGCTGTATTACACGTTTTCTTTTCCAGTAAATACTCCTTTTTAACATACAGACATATTTCCCAATAATCTTACTTATATAATATACAAAACTTAACTTTTTAGCCACAAGAGTTGTCTCAGGAAGCTTTCATTTTGGAGTGCCATAAAGGCCTGAGACAGCAGCAAAATGACCCTCTGGACTTGGTACTTTTGAGTTTTCATTTGTGTTTAGAACACCTGTTTAAAATTAAAACAAAGTCATTCCCACATTATCCTCATGTAGGAAGTCTTTTTATGCACAGATGAACACAAGACAGAAATGTCAAATCGATCACTTTTTTTGGCAAATCACAGAAATTGAACAGTGCTACCAGAAACAGAAACATCTCCTTTTAGTGTTTTATAGCTGAAGAGACTGAGGAATGTCATTCAAACTTCTCATCTCCTTCTTCCACGTCTTTCAAATTGAGAACTTCCAAAGAACCTTTGCCCTTTGTTTCCTTTTTTATTAGCTCATCAATTTCCTGGAAGCAGCCTGGGTCAATCAGACACACAATTTCTAGCTGCTGGCTATAGTCTTGCTTTCTATAACCTTGATCAACAGCTTAAGCTTGTCCTTGAGCTTCTTCCCTTCATTCACTGGAAGAATGAACTGGAGCCTCATGTGAGCACGTTCAATCTTCATCTTTTCCTTCAGCTGCTTTATCACTTCTAAAGCCTGCTGTTTTGTACTCTTATTGGGCTTGACTGAATAGTGGATGTCCTTCATGGCTCTCTCAATAAGGATAACAGTGTAAGGTCTCTTTGTTTCCGGGTTGACACACTTGTCTGCCACGATGGTTGCAATGTCCCTAAACATCTGCTCCAGCTGTGTGTGCCTTTCTTTATCAGATACCTGAACCTCTCCTTTAGTCAAAATCTGCTTGCAGATTTCCGTTTGATCGTCGGTGCCGAAGGCACTGATGAGGTCTTCCTTCTTAGCGACCTGGCCTTTGGAGACGTTCACGAACACGGAGTGCGTCTGCAGGACCTCGTCCAGGTTTTTCTCCACGCCGCTGCGCCAGCCCACCACCTTGTTCTTGTAGCAGGCGATCTTGAAGCGCTTGCCTGCGCGCTTCATGCGAACCACCGCCACGTTGGTCAGGCGGATCTGGTTGGTGGGGGTGAAGACAGACATGGTGGCCGCTCACAGATCGCGGCCGGGGAACCAGGGTTCTGCGCCTCGCGGCCACTGGCGCCCAACTCCAACGACCCCAGGCACGCGTAACCCTAACGGCAGCCACCGGGTTAGGCCTGCAAGCGACTGCCACCGCGCACCTCGCAGACGCCTAAAATCTAAACTTCTAATAACAACATCTAACACAATTCAGAAAGCTATTTAGAAGTTTGCCAAGTCAGCTTGACCTGACATGTGGGAGCAAAGAAAGCAAGTGATTAACCTGATCATAGAACTGAAATATTCAGCAGAAAAAGTGTTCACTGTTATAACAGTGTTGGGGCACAACTGTGTCCCTGCAAAACTCCATTATTGAAGCCCTAAACCCAAATCTTTTAAAGACACAATTAAACTAAAATGAGGCCATAAGGGCAGGCCCCAATCCAACTTAACATGTCCTTATATGAGGACGAATGTAGCTACTGACATAGACACCAGGGAAATGTGCACACCAGCAGAGACCCAATAAGACTTAGCAAGTACAGTTTTCCAAGAACCAAGGAGAGAGGCCTCAGAGGAAGCCAACCCTGCTAGCAGAATGACCTTGGACTTCTGGCATCCAGGACTGGCAGAAAAAAAATTCTGTTGTTTAAGAAGATGGGATGCCATTTGTGGTATTTTGTTGTACCAGAACAGGCAGACACACAGAATGTATAATTTGTTTGCCCACTAATGAAAAGGTGACCAAGGAAGAAATGGTACTGCTCCTCCTCACAAAAGAAATCTCAATTACTGTCATGTGACCCGCTTTCTGTGATATAAATCTTCATCACTGTGTTAAACTATTATACACTGTAAAAATGTATAGGAATTTATTTAGTCTATTCCATGTTAATGGCTTTTAAGCTATGTTTAGATTTTAGGGATTTCATGCAAAACATTTTAACAATACTACAAGATAATGTTCTTGAAGTAAAAGTTCTAACATCAAAGTATATTTACATTGATGTTTTGACATATTACTGAAGAAAGTAGCAACTTATACTCCTAACATCATTTGTGAATGAGTAGTATTTGCCAATTTTGCTTTGTATCACTGATACTTAGAATAACAAACTTCTTTCATGTGTTTGGATGTATTAAGTATAGATTTATTTCCTTCTTTTAAGGTGGCAATTTTGAAAGGCCAAATGACTTCAGAGAAATTTATGAAATTATATCTATTTCAGAAATTATATCTATTCACTTCTATCTGGTATCATCTGGCTTGGTGAGCAAAAGCATTCCAGTTAATCTTTCTAGAATACAAAACCCATTGAATGATATGGTACATAAAAGCATGAAGACCTTACAACATATCATTTTTAGGGGAAATATAGGTTTTCCTGTCACTTTACTTTTTCAGCCTATACTCCAATTATGGAGAAAAAAGTGATCAAAAATGAAAATAAAATAATAGAAAAGAGAATAGTAGGGTAAAGAGAGGGCAAGCAAACCAGAATCCAACACTGCATAGGAAGTCTTAAGTTCTCACTAAGTAACCCCTGGAAAACTGTGTGGAGGTCACTGTAGACACTAAGAAATGCTGATCACTTGCTATGGATTCCCTAGAAAGATACTTCCTTTCAAAGTCTAATAAGTTCTGAGATGAATGAGACAAATTTTCTTCTTTTCATGGTAAAAATTTATATCCCATTCAAATCAAAGCAAACATGTATTACTGAAAATAATTTCTGATCTAATAATGAGCATTTCTGTTCGTGAAGTTCAAATTCTATTATGTAGTAATTCATGCTTTCCATCCTTCCTCCTTAAGTGATTTTAAAAAATATCAAATTCACATGTATTATCCTATTGTCACATAATGCCTCTGATTAAAATTATTTTTCTATGAGGAAAAAACCAAAACCAACCATATCTTATAACAGCTCACCACTTGGGCAAGGCTCTTGATGTAGTTATTTCCCTAATTTCCTTACCCCAAATTATTAAAACTGCTTCCAGAAGAATAAACAAGCCATCACAGACAATTTTGTGTTTCAGTTACATAAAACCTAGGTCAAATCCTGGCTTTCTTTCCCTGGCATTTCTCTACAATAAGGTGACAAAAATGTTCCTGATAAAAATATCTTTTTTTTTTTTTTTTTTTTTTTTGAGAGAGAGACTCACAGTTAATAACTGCTAGACTTAATTCTTTGCACTTACCAGGGAGGAAAGATGTGGATAACATCCTGGGGACATCCCTTGAGGTAACATGCAGTCTCCTGAGTAAAGAGAACTTTCAGGCTGGCTCCAGGCTCTGCAGCCACATCCCTGGAAGGAACAGCAGCTGTCGACCCCACTAACTGTTCACACATGGCAACCTGCATGGTGCATTCCTCGTGTAGCTCTAGAATTTTCACAGTTAATACACCAGATTTTCTACCTGGAAGTTGAAGAAAAGAATGAAAGAAGAAATGAAGTCCAAAACACATACGGTTTAAGTGTAAATAAAGTATCAAGAAAAAAAATCCACATTCAGATACCTTTCTCCACCTAAGAAAATGGTCTACATACTTTGCAAAATAAAATACAGATTCTATTGCACTCACTGTAACATCTTTCTTTAATCCAAACAGGACTGAATGTTTCATTTAATATATTCATTTTAGGGCTGGGATTGTGGTTCAGTGGTAAAGCGCTCGCCTAGCATGTGTGAGGCACTGGGTTTGATCCTCAGCACCATATAAAACAATAAATAAACAAAATAAAGGTGTTGTGTCCATCAACAATTAAAAAAGAAATCTTTATACACACACACACACACACACACATTCATTTTAAGCAACACAAAATAAAGTCTTCTATCATGAAGAAATAGTTCTGTGCATATGGAAACTTCAGACCAATTATTTCATGGAATGTTTTTACTCTCAAACTTGAACTTTTTTGATAACAACAGCAAAGGGTATATGGATACTGTTGCTCCTTCTCTCTTATACCTTCCCCCCTTTATTATGTGTTTTGATTCTCTGCTTTGAAACTATGTATATTGCTGGTTGGCTGCAGCGGTTCTGATGATCATGAAGTTTAAAAGTTGAGGATCTACATAGACCACTGGGTGTGAGGACTCTGGATTTAAATGGGTGAAATTCATTTTGGATTTGCATACTGGCTCTCTTTTATAAAACTGGCCAATTACATATCATTTCAGTCTCTCAGTTTTCTCATGTATGAAAAAGAAATCATAATACCTACCCCAGTGAACATCTGGGGAATGAGATAAAGAGCTCTACATGGCACTTCCAGTGAATGAACCAGATCAGCATGTATCAATAGAGAAATCTCAAAATAAGAGGTGACAAACCAAATATACCAACTATTATACCTTGTAATGTAATTTAATAAAACCACAGAAACCAATACAATATTGTTTATGGATATGTATGTCCTACAAATAGAAATGCAGAATAGAAGGACTCAAGAAAAGCCATGGTAGCTGATGTCTCTGAGGAGAAAAAGAGAAGGTGACTTAGGAAGGGAGCTGGGGATTTCAAATTTATCTGATATATTGTTTGTATTGAAAAAATATAAGAAGCAAAAGACAAAAGATTACCATGTGTTATTACTTCTAGGTAGTGAGTACACATATTTTTTTATTACTCTCTATGCTACTTTTTTTTTTTTTTTGGCAGGGGGGTTGGGTACCAAGGATAGAACTCAGTTTAACCACTGAGCCACATCCCTAACCCTTTTTATTATTATTATTTTTATTTAGAGACAGAGTCTCACTGAGTTGCTTAGGGACTCACTAAGTTTTTGAGGCTGACCTTGAACTCAAGATCCTCCTGCCTATGGGGTTAGAAATGATGGTGGAACGTGATGATCATTATTATCCAAAGTACAAGTATAAAGACACGAATTGGTGTGAACATACTTTGTATACAACCAGAGATATGAAAAATTGTGCTCTATATATGTATTAAGAATTGTAATGCATTCTGCTATCATATATAAATTTTAAAAATTTAATAAAAAATAAAAGATCCTCCTGCCTTAGCCTTCTGAGCCGCTGGGATTACAGGTATGTGCCACCACACCTGGCTTTCTATGCTATTTTAATTTTTAAAAAAACTTAAAAAAAATATATGAATTGAATGAGAGTAACAAAAGTGAAATATCTACCCTAATGTCTGGTTGATAAATAGACATTCCCTAAGTAAATTTCTATAGCATTCAACCCAAATGCTTAACAGTAAATAATAAAAGAAAAAATTTAGATAGTGCCAATTTTTTAGATTTTTAGTTTGATTTCATTTTTCTTTCTCCCTCTCACATTTGCTTCATTCATTTCCACTCGATCCCAAACTTTTCATTCTTCCTTTGTCTAAGTGCCAACGGCTTGTATCCACATATTGAGCTAGGCCACATGCCTCTCCAAAGCACTGTCCTATATTACTGTTTATCAAGATCTGTGTCTATCTTGGTACTTTTTTAAGGTAAGGTAGTTGGAATGGGGGAAGGATATGAACAAGCACAATGTTAAGCTGTTTGCTGGTTACTAGGGGGAAGGGAATAGAGGTATAATAACAAGTATCTAAGGAAAGTGCTGATTAGGAAGTAAACACACACTTGTTCTGCCACAATGTGTCTTTAATGGAAAGTAGCTGCACTTTAGTTGGTAAAGAGGAAAAGAAGTCAGGATCACATGAAGGTCATTTTGGTCCAAAGTTTTCCCCTGCAGGGGAGCTAGAGCAGTGGGTGGAGAATTGGAGTCTTTGGAAACAAAGGGAAAAGTCCCAGATGAAGGGCTGCAGTGGCCAAAGGAACATTTCTGGACAAATTTTTTGAACTGTTAAAACTTGTGCCTATATTCTGGGTTCATTCCCAACACTGTGCAGGCCTGCTGCTAGCCCCATATCAAGGTGAGGTGACCCAGTTGAACACAGGCTCTTGGTCCTGTGCACTTGGGTATTTGTTGTGCATTCACAGTTACTTGTCCAAGCAGCACAAGTCCTTTCTTGCCTTATCCATTCTTGCCTTATGTGGCGTAGGTTAAAACGCAATATAGATATTCAGTGGTCTGCTCCAACCTTAAGAGTCCACAGGGACCCTGAGGGATTTTTATAAAAGAAAGGCTCTTACAGAAACACACAAACAGTATTACAGCAGCAATATCTATGTATCTAAGATAAACCACACTGTCACTGATTAGTTTCTTTGAAGATTACTAAGATCAATTCTAGCAATATTCCCAAACTATGAATTCTGCTCAAGAGCTGTAGCACAAATAACTTATAAAATAACAAGTTATTTTATGATGTTTACTGTCACCATGGTGCTGTACACCACAGCTTGCTTGGTGACTGAACAGGCTTGGGTAGCTGTGATGAACAATGTCATTATGTTCCCAGCACCAGGCAGAGGAGAGCATTAAGCTTTTGTCCACATAGATAGGCAACCCTCCAGGGTCCTTGGGAGAAACCAGTGCCTGCCTTTCCAGAAAAAAACAAAGCAGTGAAGTTCCCTCTTCTCTAAGGGAGCAAAAAGCATGGGCAACAGCCAAATTACGTGCTTGAGGCAAGTATTTAATCCAAGGAGAGAGAGTCATTTTACAAACAGAAGAGTATTTTACAATTAGATGAATGATACATAAAAGACCATTTCTGTGCCACCAAGGAAACATTCTCTCATAAATGCTGTGAGCCTCAGCCAAAATATCACCTCATCCAGAAAATGTTTCCTGAATTCCAGCCAGAAGCAATTATTTCTTCCCTTTGAAATCCTCAAATATCTTTATTTATCTCACTATTAAGAGTGGCTTCCCAAGACAGCTGCAATCTGGGAGACAACACAAAGAGCCCACAGCATAGTGCCTGGCCCAGCATATATCCAATAATGGTACCCAGCATCATTATCATCAGGTTTTCAAGGAATTTTCAAGTAAATTCTCTTACATAATCCGTAATAACCCTATAAAACAGGTAAGGAAGATATTAGTCCCTTTCTTTGAAAGAGGAGAAAACTGAAAATTTAAGCTGTCCACAGACTTCTTAAGGACACAGGGTTACTGGTAGGCCCACTCTTAGAAACTGAGTCTCCTTATAAACTAAGAGTCAATATGCCTCTTGGGTAAATGCTAATTAGAAATAGAAAATTGTAAGCAATGCTCTTCCCCATACTTTATGATGCTAAAACAAAGGGCTTGTTTAAAATGTAACAAAAGAGAGCACATCAGGTTAAGAAATGGCTCCATAAGGCCTATCACTGTGGCTAGAAAGGGTAAAGATTTCAACAGAACTTGCACTGAGAAAAAGAGAACACACTGTCAAATACTGAATATCAAAGAGAAAGTACCACATTAATACACAACAGTAATAACCTTAAATGATTAAGAGGAGGAGAAAAACTCATATGGAAGATATAACATAAGATCTAGTAATTTCTATTCACATATATGCCTAGCAGATTAAACAGTCCTTAGTTAAATATGCACAATATTTAACATCAAGGCTAGCATTTACTGAATGAATTCATGAATGAGGGATTTTTTCTCACTGTGCTAAAAAGCCCCCCAAAAAAGTCGTCATTGGTTTTAAACAATCAAGAGGCCACAAAAAATTGAGTGATATAAGAACAAAATCTACTGGTGATTACTGAGATCAATGACTTGAAATATACAGGTAGCCAGCGCCCATTTATATGCATGTCAACTCAAACTCTCTATGTGGATTTTGTTAATGAATTAACATGTATTATGAGGATAATGAATGTTATACAAAAAGCAAAGTGAAGCAAGTTAATACATGGGGAGAAAATTTGAAATCATTCTTCTATAGGGGTCAGGAACTTCTTTAAGTTTTTTTCTAACAGAAATATTGTTCATGATAGTTGCCACTACTAACATTAAATTGTCCATTTTATTATCAAAACATTGACCACATGGTAATTTAGAATTTTCCTTCTACATTATTACTCTTTATCTTTTTATTTTCACAGATATCTCAATATGCTCACCTATCCAGTATTCTGCCTTAAAAATGTCTTACTATTCCCGAAATTGGCAATTTTTCCCTTCTTTAGGTCAATTCATCAACTGTGTCCATGTTCCTTTTCCACTTACTCTTCACCTAGCACATAAGTATATTCTCTCTCGCTCTCTCTCACTCACTCACACACACACACACACACACACACACACACACAAACACAACTTGTGTATGAAGAGGAGGTCAGCGACAGACATCAGAGGACTTTAAAATCTACCTGCTTTCCCTGCAAACAGGATCTCTGTCCTTAACAAGCATTCTGACACTGGTCTTCACCAGCTGTTATTATTCTGTTATGATTCTCTTTGTTGTACTCATGCCGAATTACCAAGTTATAATCATTAATCATTTCATATTTTAGTCTTTTTAAAACAGAATTTTAAAGTTCTACTAAAAA